ACCCTGCGCTAACACCCTGACACCCCCTAGTGACCTAATCCCTAAGGCCCTCAACCCGAAACCCCAAAGCCCTAAAGCCCTAAACCCTAAGGCCCTCAACCCTCAAGCCCTAGACCCTAAAGCCCGAAAGCTCTAAGGCCCTAGGGCCCAAACCCCACATCCCACGGGCCCAATGCCTGAAGCGCTGCACCCTCAGTTCTACAGCCTCCAACAACCCCAAAGCCCCAAAATGGGTTTAGGGTCTGGGTTTAGGGTTTAGGGTTTAGGGTTTAGGGTTTAGGGTTTAGGGTTTAGGGTTTAGGGTTTAGGGTTTAGGGTTTAGGGTTTAGGGTTTAGGGTTTAGGGTTTAGGGTTTAGGGGTCCCAGCCCCAGGCTCAGGAGGGCTTTTGGAGCTTGCCTCCCAAGCAGGCCCCATGGGCTTGCGGCAGCACGGGGCTTCGTGGGTTTAAGTGCAGGGGGTTTGGGGTTTAGGGTTTAGGGTTTAGGGTTTGGGGTTTGGGGTTTAGGGTTTAGGGTTTAGGGCTTTCCAGGTCTGGAAGTTTCCAGGATCTAAGTTTCTGAAGGTATAGAAAGTTCGGTTAAGGGGCTTTGAAAGTTTGAGGGCTTAGGGCTTCAGCGTTTGTGTCTTTAGTGCTGTTGCTGTTTTGGGTTTTAGGGTTCAGGGGTTTGAGAGATTTCAACTGGTGGGGTTTGGGGCGTGTATAGAGTTTTATTCGTGTTTTGGGGTTGCGGGTTTCGGGTTTAGGGTTTAGGGTTTTCGGGTTTTCGGGTTTTAGGGCTTGGGGTTAAGGGAGTTTCGGGTGTGGGCTCATCGTGTGAACCCTAATCCCCAAGTTTTGGGGTTTAGGGTTAAGGTTGAGGGTTGAGGGTATAAGGTTTAGGGTTGAGCGTTTAGGGTTGAGGGTGCAGGGTTTAGGGTTTCGGGCTGATAGTGGGCATCGTTTTGGCCCGTGCGCAGTTCAGTATGGCGGAGCGTGGTATGATTCGTGTTTAACGTTTAGCGTTTAGGGTTTAGGGCTTAGGGTTAAGGGTTTAGGGTTTAAGGTTTAGGGTTAAGGGTTTAGGGTTTAGGGTTAAGGGTTTAGGGTTAAGGGTTTAGGGTTTAGGGTTAAGGGTTTAGGGTTTAAGGTTTGGGTGTGGGTTTGCACAAACCCGAAGCCCTCGGTGGGCCTTCCGGTTTGGAGTTTACGCTTTAGGGTTTGGGGTGTAATCCCATCTAAACCAAGAACCCTGTAAACCCTAAACCCGTGAACCCAATGCTGCAGGTTGATTTGAAGTTGAAAATTGAATATGCCCTAAACCCTAGACCACCCTAAACCCTAGTTCCTACCTATCGCTAGCAACCATACGCCGTCACCAAAATCATGCCCCCCCCCCCCCCCCCCCCCCCGCTTGGAGGTTCATGGTACTTGTTAACCATACATAACTGTACTTATGACCATATTAGGGCACTTAAGGGGCTTTTCAGTTGGCTAATAAGTACCATGAACCTCCAAGGCCCCAAGCTTAGGGTTCTACTTTTTTGGGTTCAAGGGTCTTGGGTGTAGGGTTTAGGGCTCCCTCAACCCTAAACCCTAAGCCACACCTTAGGGTTGAAGGGCTGAGGGCTTAGGGCTAGGGCTTAGGGCTTAGGGCCTAGGGCTTAGGGCTTAGGGCCTAGGGTTTAGGGTTTAGGGTGTAGGGTTAGTATTTAGAGTTTAGAGTTTAGGGTTTAGGGTTCAGGACGGAGGTTGCTAGTGCTCAGAAAGGCTTTCTCAACCCTCAAGTGCCGTCACTGCAGCAGATCCGCGTCCGAGAAGCATCGCGCAGAATACCAGCCGACACAGAGCCCCTAAACCCTAAGCCCTAAACCCTAGACCCCAAACCTTAAACACGAAACCCTAAACCCTAAACCCTAAATAAGACCCTCTCCCAAACCTAAAGTCCTCACCTCACCCTCAGCCCCAAAATGGCGCGCCCGCAGCGGCACGTTCCATGGATCCCTTTGCAGGTCGCGGCCGCAGCTGGTTAGGGTTTAGGGTTGAGGGTTGAGGGCTTATGGATTTGGATTGAGGGTCATTTGGTCTAGGCATTGAAGGAAGTTTGATACCCTATAAGGCCCTTTAGAGGTATTATAAGTAGGGTTATGAGTACAGTTATAATTGGTTAGTAAGCACCATGAACCTTCAAGTAGTTTGATACACCCCGCCCTTCACCCCGCTCACCTCTGTTGGGCTAGGCGGGCGCCCTCCAGCGTTCAGCGAGCGCAGGCTCTGAGCTGCAGAGCCTGCACTTGAAGGTTCATGGTACTTACTAGCCAATTATAACTGGGCTTATAACCCTAGTTCTAATTGGGATAACCCCTATAAGGCCCTTTAGAGGTATTATAAGTAGGGTTATAAGTACAGTTATAATTGGTTAGTAAGTACCATGAACCTTCAAGTGCGGCCGCACCCCTGAAAGGTCGCCAAGCTTGGTCTGCCCAGCTTGGTCTGCCCAGCTTGGTCGCCAAGCCACATGTTTTTAGTCCCCTAACCCCCCTATTTCGGGCCCGGAAGCCTACTCGAGTGCCAGCTTTTTTTTTTGCCCGAGGGGGCCTGCGAAAACCCCGGCAGGTTGCCTGGGAAAACCTCTTGCAGACCCTGCCGCTCGTGAAGCCCATTAGAATCACCCTAAACCCTAAACCCTAAACCCTAAACCCTAAACCCTAAACCCTAAACCCTAAATCCTAAACCCTAAACCCTAAACCCCAAACCCTAAACCCGAAACCCTAAAACTCAAACCCGAAACCCTTCGACCCAGACGTCCCCGGCGCAAACGCTCAGGGGCTGCCTCTGTGCGGCCTAAGAAGCCCTCGCACCCCTCGAGGGTAGGGTTTAGGGTTTAGGGTTTAGGGTTTCGGGTTTCGGGTTTAGGGTTTAGGGTTTAGGGTTTAGGGTTTAGGGTTTAGGGTTTAGTTAGGGTTTAGGGTTTAGGGTTTAGGGTTTAGGGTTTAGGGTTTAGGGTTTAGGGTTTAGGGTTTAGGGTTTAGGGTTTAGGGTTTAGGGTTTAGGGTTTAGGGTTTAGGGTTTAGGGTTTAGGGTTTAGGGTTTAGGGTTTAGGGTGTCTTTCTTGCCTTTTCGTGGCCCTTGGGCCCAAAGCCACTGGAAGCCTGGAAGGCTCTGGCTTTTTGGCTGGCTCCGGCTTGCCTGGTAGTGTTTGGGTGGCCTTGGCGTGGGCATGTCTTCATACAACTGGGCTGGGTCAGCGTGCGACCTTGCCGAGCAAGCCCTAAACCTAAACCCAAAACCCAAAACCTTCAACCCAAACCCTGAACCCTAAACCATACCATACCCAAAGGAAGCAACCCGAGCAAACCTTGAACTTAGGTTGGTCTGTGTGCTTGCGGAGAGGGTGGAGTGGATGGGGGCGTGAACCCGACATCCTAAACCCTCAACACTGAACCCTAAACCCTAAACCCGAAACCTTAAACCCTAAACCCTAAACCACCCTAAGCCCCGAAACCTGGGACTTGTTTTGGGATTGGGGGGCTCCATGAAACCCAAAGCCCTAAAGCCCTCAACCCAAAACTCTACACCCCAAACCCTAAACAGAGTGTAGGGGTTCCAAGGGTTTTGGGTTTTAATGTTTGAGGGCTTTAGGGTTTTAAGGGCTTGGGGTTTTAGGGCTGAGGGTTTGGGGTTTCAGGGCTGTAAGAGTTGAAGGTTTGGGTTATGGGGTTTTAGGGTGTTAAGGGTTTAGGGTTTTAAGGGTTTGGAGCTTGGGGTTTGGGGGTTTGGGGATTTAGGGCTTGCGGTTGGGGGTTTCGGGTCTGAGGTGTCGGGGTTCAGGCTCGAAGGGTTAAACTAAGGCTTAGCTGAAGTGATCAAGGACTCACAGGCCCGGAGAAGGTTCGATGAAAGTCAGTCTTGAGGAGCTTCTTGTTTCTTCTGTAGAATCATTTCAAGATGCAGGGGCTTGAGGGTTCAGGGGGTTTAGGCTTAGGGCTTAGGGTTCAGGGTTCAGGGCTTAGGGCATAGGGCTTAGGGTTGCAAGTTCGTGGCCGGGTGCAGGCTTGGGTGTTCAGGGGTTTTTTCTCCGACATGTTTATACAATCCAAGAGATCCCTAAACCCTTGAAGTCCTCAAGCCCCAAGCTCTACACCCTAAGCCCCAAGCCCTAAAACCCTAAACCCTAAACCCTAAACCCTAAACCCTAAACCCTAAACCCTAAACCCTAAACCCTAAACCCTAAACCCTAAACCCGAAGCCCCAAGCCTTAAAACCCCAATCTCAGAGCCTCAAACCCCGAGGTTGACTTGCTGCTCGGGCTCCGCAAGGACTTTTTTTCTCCCTGTGGGGGAAAGGGGGGGGGGGAAGGTATTGGTGGTTGGTGGTTTAGGGTTTGGGGGTTTAGGGTTTAGGGTTTAGGGTCAAGCTGAGAGCCCTAAAGCCACGACGAAACTCAAAAGCCCTGCCGCCTGCCAACCATAAACTTCCAATATCCTCAACCTTTGTATACCCTATGCAGATGAAGGGCCCACACATTAAAGGTTGCTAAGGACCATATTACGGGCCCATGTAACTACCCTTTAAAGGAGGTCAGGACTTGGGGTTTAGACTCTTTGAGAAGTCTCAGCTCCAGTGTTAGGGTTCAGGGCTTGGGGGTTAGGGCTTAGGGTAGGTCTTTAGGGTGTTAGGAGGTTTGCGAAAAAGGGTTCGAGGTTTGAGGAGGTTTTTGGGTTTTTAGAGTTTTTGGTTTCATGGCTGTGGTCTTTACGGTAAGGCCTGCATGTCTCCGGCTCAGCAGCTTCGGCCAGTCGCGCTTAGCTCATCCGGAAAGTTTGAGCGATGAGAAACGAAGGCTTTCATGGCTGGCTTCGACTTTTTCATGATCAGGGCAGAGCCTTGAGGCCTGTTCAGATCTCTGGAAGCTCGAAGGGTTTCGGGTTTAGGGTTTGGGGGTTTGCAGAAATTGGGGCTTTGGGGTTTTGGAGTTTGTTGTTCTGGGTGTTTACGGCTTACGTCGTCCGGGTAAGAGCCATGGCGGCCATGAAGAAGCTGTTCAATGCCGACATGATTGGGAAGCTGGTGGAGCACCCAGACCAGCTCGACATGCATGAGCTCATTGAGCTGGCCTGGCTGCATTTGGGAGCAACCCCCTAGGTTGGCCTGTAAACCCTAAGCTTTAAGAGCTCAACCCTCGACCCGTAACCCTAAACCCTCATCCCTAAACCCTAAACCCTAAGCCCTAAGCCCTAAACCCTAAACCCTGAGCCCTAAACCCAAACCCTAAACCCTAAACCCTAAACCCTAAACCCTAAACCCTAAACCCTAAACCCTAAACCATAAACCCTAAACCCTAAACCCTAAACCCTAAAGCCCTGGTATCTCCAGGTTGTCCCGCAGCTTCTTCACGCTGCAGGCGGTGCTGGGAGGTCTGGGCTTCGCGTACGGTGCTTTCCACAGCTCCATGGGTGGCTTGGCATAGGGTTTGGGGTTTAGGGTTTAGGGTTTAGGGTTTAGGGTTTAGGGTTTAGGGTTTAGGGTTTAGGGTTTAGGGTTTGGGGTGTAAAGTTTGGGTTGAGGGTTTGGGGTTGAGGGTTTGGGGTTTGGGGTTTGGGGTTTGGGGTTTAGGCTTTGCCGTTGTGGTGCGCGTGAGCGGAGATATCTGGTGGGAAGGCCTGATCGACTGCCCCAAAACCTAAGCCCAAAGCCCCAAGCCCTAAACCCTAAACCCTAAACCTTAAACCCTCAACCCTAAACCCTAAATCCTAAACCCTAAACCCTAAGCCCTAAACCCTAAACCCTAAGATGATGTTGAAACCGTTTCCTGCAAGGGTTAAGGCCTAAGCTCGCTTCAATCTGCATGCTTTGAAACATAACCTCTTTGAGATCTGACACGCAGGGTTTAGGGTTTAGGGTTTAGGGTTAAGGGTTTAGGGTTTAGGGTGGGGCATGCAGTGGCAAGGCTTGACGAGCGTGGGCAACTTCATCATGCCGCTGTTAGGCATCTACAGCCACCAGGTTGTACAAAGCAGACGTTTTGTGAGGGTTTAGGGTTTAGGGGTTAGGGTTTAGGGTTTCGGGTTCTCAATTCAGGGGGGTTCAAGGGGGGTACGCTAAGGCACCCTAAGCTTCCCTGAGGTTCCCGAGGTACCTGCCCCACGTTTTGAGTTGCTGAGACCAAACGGTCTCACCCTGAACCCTAAAACCTCAAACCCTGCAACTCGAAACCGTAAACCCTAGACCCTGAACCCTGAACCCTAAACCCTGAACCCTATGCTTTTGTTTTTGCAGGATGCCCGACGCCTAACGCTTTAGGGCTTAGACCCGCAAACCCCAAGAGCCCAAACAAAATCCAATACAGTGTGGCTCGGGCTTCGGGTTTCGGGTTTCGGGTTTAGGGTTTAGGCTTTGAGGGCTTTCGGTGTTATGACGCAGGTCTTGGCTGCAGGTTTTCGGGTGTGCCAGCTTAGGCACACGCGACGACAATCCAGACAACTACAAGTGCCTTCGGCTCCTTGCTATGCAGTTGGAGCTCAGATGCTGCACTCGGGGATCTACCCCAAACCTTAACATCCGAAGTCCGAACGCCCTAAGCCCTAAACCCTAAACCCTAAACCCTAAACCCTAAACCCTAAAAGGTGTGAGGAGTGCTGGAGAACCAGCAGTTGAACCAAGCCTTGACTGCGTCCCTCAGAGCACCTCTCGGTGCGTTTTTACAAAGGCGGTCTTTTCGGGGAACCCGCGAATTGGAACACTGTCCGCCCTAGCGCGGACGAGAAGGATGAAGACTGTGTTGCGCGATGAAATCCTGCGAGCCCAGGGGCCCTTCATGCCCACAACGCCCAGTTTCCCGACCCAGAACCAGTCTACCTCACCGGCAACATCAATGTAGATCAGAGCACGGACGAGTACACTGCGCAGAGCCATGGAATGGGCTGAAGTGAGTCTAGCCAAATTCACTGGGTGTTTCAGGATTGGAAGCAAGCCTACAACTCCATAAACCACACGCCATGATCCGTGCTCTAACCAACCGTCAGCTTGCTGCTAGTCGGTAGCCAGCCAGCTAGAAACATGAACAGTAGCAACAACGATCCAGCATTAAAGTGGTGGAGATTCACGTAAGACAACAGCTAATCCTAATGTTATGAGAGTGAATATGACTACAGCCACACAGAAAAGGCTGTGTAGGTGTAGGGGTAGGTGTGTAGGTGGGTAGTTGGACTGGGTGGAGGTAGTAGGTTTGGGAGTAGGGTTGGGTGTTGGATGGCATTCTTCTCTAAAAACCTAAACCTTAAAAGTATATTCTACTTGTATTGACTAGAGGTGGTCTTAAATGGTCTAGAATCATCGAAAATAGATTGATTGTTCATTATTGTGAGTCGACTAACTCTGTGAAAAGCAATTATTCAAAAAAATCAAGAGTAAAGGGCCCTTATCTTGGTCGAGATGCATTAATTTTCTTCTATTCAAAATACAGTGCTACGTAAACAAGACATTTAGAGTTGGTGCTAACAACCTAGCAGTTTGAACTAGCATGTCTTCCCGATGAACTTTACCACAATTCCACGACGAACTTGGTTTCACGATGGTCGTTTTTGAGTATCTTACTGCATAAACAGAAGTTCAGGCACACGAGTAGTGTAAGCACACGCGCACACACACACACACACCTCTACTATCAGCCTAAACGCCTTAGGGCTACTTTCCTGATCAGGTTCGTTTGCCTTGAGGCAGGCCATCATGCACTTTGTCTTTGGTTTAGGACTGGGTGTTTAGGGGTTAGATGATGGGTCGGCTATTTGTATGGCTGGGGCCGCAGCAAACATATTCTCTGTTTTGCCTTCATCCTCCGCATCTGGGCGTTTAAGCTCTAAGCCCTAAGCCCTAAACCCCGAACCCCTGGTGCTTGGCACTCAACACACCGGTCCGTATCTTAATATCCAAGCGGAGCTGACGGGTTCAGGGGTTAAGGGTTAGGAGGAGAAGGGGTTAGGGTTTAGGGTTTAGGGTTTAGGGTTAGGCTTTAGGGTTTAGGGTTTAGGGTTATTTTCGGGATCCCGAAGTCTTATGACTTAAGCCCAGAGCACTGGCCCCTGCAACTGAGAATCTGCGGAATTACTTTGAACCTTAAGATCTGAAACTCCCAAACTCCTGAACCTTGGTACCCCTAAGCTCAAGGCTCTGTGCCCTGTACTGGGTCCTTGGTGCAATCTTTTCCTTCTTCGAAGCCTTCCTTGGCTTCGACTTGCACAAGGCGAAGGTTGTACGAGTTTTCGGGTTTTGGGGTCTAGGGTTTAGGATTTAGCCTCTGCGGTTGGGATTTGTGGATGATACCGGCAAGCTCCCCCAGGCACTGCGTGCCCAGGGTATTCAACCCTCAACCCCCAACCCTGAACCCTAAACCCTAAACCCTAGACCCTAAACCCTAAACCCTAGGTCCTAGACCCTCAAGCCCCAAGCCCCCAATGCGACCCTGAACCCTGCACCCCAGACCCTAAGCCCGAAACCGCACTTCCGGGGTTTGGCCCTTTCATGTTCTGTGTTTTGGAGATGAGGTGATTGTAGGGTCCTTAAGGAAGGGGGGTTCATGGGGGGTAGGTTCCTAGCAATCGGGAAGCTTAGGGAGCCTTAGGGAGTAGTAGGGGGCATTCGGGAACCTTGAATTACATACCCCCTTGAACCCACCTCCCTGAAGAACCCTCAACCCTAAACCCTCAACCCCAACTAACGCCTAAACCCTAAACCCCAAACCCCAAACCCTAAACCCTAAACCCTAAACCCCAAACCCTATTTAAACTCGAAACCCTTGTGGGATTGTACGGAAGGTGATTGTTGGCACTCTGAAGACCGCCATGTATGGCTTGCAGTGGCTCGTGCTGGCCCGCCTCCTGGATGGCGCCGGGTTTAGGGTTTAGGGTGTAGGGTTTAAAGTCGCCATCTACGACTTGTGTCTACTTTGGACGATGTCGATAGCACCCTGAAACTTCTCGGACAGAGCCCAGGGAGACCTTCGATGAGAGCCTAAACCCCGCAACGCTGAATCCTTGACCCTAGACCCTAAACCCCCCCAGAATCCAATGCCCCTTCACGAAGGCATACAACCTGAATGGGGATCTGTAATATGATGAAAGCTATAACCCTAAACCCTAAACCCAGAACCCAGAACCCAGAACCCTAAACCCTGAACCCTAAACCCTAAACCCGAAACCCCCTAAGCCCTCAACCGTAAGCCCCTAGACCACCACAGCCTTCCATCCAAGGCTTGTGGCGATGGCTGCAAGTTCGGTACGTCGGAACTGTGAAGTTTTACCTCAACGTGGTGGTCAAGAACAAGAAAGAGGCGTGGTTCAGGGTTTAGGGTTTGGGGTTTAGGGTTTTCGTGCTTAGTGTAGCTGACGACAGTTGTTGTGCCAAGGCTTGCCGAAGGCCAAAACATCCCGCGACCTTCGCCCGAGCGCAAACCCCAAACCATGAACCCATCCATTGCTTCAAGCCCTCAAGCCCGAAGGTCGCACCTGTGTGTCAAAGCCTAAATCAACTCAGTTCTATGAGGAATGCTTCGTTGAGCATAAAACCCTCTAAAGCCCCCAACGCCAACCCCGAAACCCTAAACCCTAAACCCGAAACCCTAACCCCTAAACCCTAAACCCTCAACCCTAAACCCTAAGCCCTAAACCCTAACCCCCTAAAACCCCCTCAACTCCCCGCCCGAACCCCTAAAACCCCCTCAACTCCCCGCCCAAAAGGTGGTCCAGACCCAAGCACGGGAGCGGTCGCGCGTGGCGGGCAAGATTTTGGGCTCCTTGGGTTTAAGGTTGTTTTGGGGTTTTGGGTTTAGGGTTTAGGGTGTAATTAGGGCTTAGTGCTGTAAACCGCACGGGTTTAGGGTGTTCAGGCTTTTTTGGGTTTAGGATATCGGTTTGGGGTGCCTGGGGGGTTGCTTGGGGTGTTTAGGCGTGTTTGGGGTTCAGGGTTGAAAGGTTAGGTTTCGGGTTTAGCGGGTTCAGGGTTTGGGGTGTAAGGTTTAGTTGGAGGTTCATGGTACTTATTAACCCTAATGAGATCTCTACTCATAAGCTCCCTAAGTCCCTTAAGTAGGTTATAAGTAGACTTATAGCCGTGGTTAGAAGTACCGTGAACCTCCAAGTAGGGGTCGCAAATCTTGGGGACCCAAACCTTAAACCCTAAACCGTAAACCCTAAACCCTGAAGCTCTAAATCCTCAACCCTAAACCCTAAACCCTGAAGCCCTAAGCCCTTAAACCCTAAACCCGCAACTCCAGGAAAGATCGCCAACCGCTTCGTCGTCACCGACGACGTGTTCTCGGAGAAGTTGGCCGGAAACCTGGAGAAGAGCATGCCCAAGAGGCCGGAGGGTTTAGGGTTTAGGGTTTAGGGTTTAGGAATTTCGGATCCTAAAGCCCAAAAAAACCTATCCCCAAACAAGCCCCAAACCCCAACAAGCACCAAAATCCCAACACCCAAAACCCGAAACCCGTTCCTGAAGCTCTGAACCCGGTTTTGGGTTTAGGATTTAGGGTTGAGGATTGCGGGGGGTACTCAAAGGGCCCGGTGATCTCCAGTCTCGAACTCAACCTGCCTGGCTTGAAGGTTGTTTGAACCGGCCTTTTCTCGAAGTCATCACTGTGGTACCCTAAAACCCTAAACCCCAAACCCCAAACCCCAAACCCCAAACCCCAAACCCCAAACCCCAAACCCTAAACCCTAAACCCTAAACCCACCTCAAACCCTAAACCCGAAACCCTCAACCCTAAGCCCTAGGGTCGAACCCTGAATCCGAAGCCCTAAAGCCAACATCCGAAGTCTAGGCGCTCAGCATTGAGACCCTAAGAACTCCCTGCTTGAAGCCCTGATCCTGTGAGCCATCAACTTCGAAGCGCCCCAAGCCCTGAACCCCAACAACATCTCCCTCAACCCTAAACCCTCAACCCTCAACCCTCAACCCGCAACCCTCATCCCTCAACCTCAACCCTCAACCCTCATCCCTACACCCTAAACCCTAAACCCTAAACCCTATGAACCCTAAACCCTAAAGGGTTCACATAATGTACTCCCAAAATCTGGCCCTCAGAATTCGCTCAGAAAATCTTAAAGGAGGGTCGTCAAACCCTTGGGAACCACCTCAGGGCTCCAAAAAAGTCCCTTGAACATGGTAGTTTCCATACGTTGGGGGAGGAGGGAGGGCCATTTAATTTTAGAGTCTATTGAACCCTAAACCCCAAACCCCAAACCCCAAACCCTAAACCCGAAACCCTAAACCCCAGGCTACAGGATGAGGTCGGCGTGACGGCCACCGTGGCCAAGCAGTACCAGCGCGGAAACTTCTTGGTCCTGCTGGTGTCCATCGAGCAGCGCCTTGTCACTGGGTTTAGGGTTTAGGGTTTAGAGTTCAGGGTTTAGGGTTCAAAAAGCCCGGGCTTTAGGGCTCAGAATCAGAAAGCCCCTTGAAACCCGTTTACTCGGCTTTCGTGCCTAGTTGCGGGTTTCGGTTGTTCGGTTTTCGGAGTTTGGGCTGTAGTAGGCTTCTGGGACTCAGGATAAAAGGCTTGGGTTTAGGATTCTACCCCGAACTGTCTGAATTGGCAGCAGGAAGGTGCTCTTCCTTCGTGCTAGCTTCAGGCTAGGCCGCGTTCAAGTTCTTGGTATTTCAGCTCAAGCACTTGAGTTTTAGCAGTGACAGATTTGCGTGGCGAATTGCAGCTGCGAGTGCTTCAAGCAGACCCTTTGCCACCTCTCCTTCCCATCCTCTCCAAGTGCCATGTTGTCAAAGATAGTATCTTCACGCTCGGCAACTGCTTTGGCAGCCTGCAGCTCTTGCAAGGGAGGCAGCTGGGTCGCATCATAAGGAGAAGTTTGTGCTTTTTGAGGACGCCTTGCAACCCCGTGGCTACCTTGCCCATGTTTTAGAAACCTAATGCGGCCACCGCAATGATCCAGGTTTGAAGGCGAGGTCCTTCTTCTCGTTGCCCAAGCTCTCCTGGGACAGCCAGGACGAGAAGCGTCAGGACGACAAGAAGCTGGAGCAGATGAAGCTTGAGAATGAAAGGATGAAGCTGGAGAACGAGCGGATGCAGCTGCAGGACGGCCAGCGCAAGCAAGAAGCATGGCAGCGAAAGTCGGACTCAGAGGGGGCCACGCTGAAGAAGCCTAGGGAAGAGTTGGTTCAGCAGGCCCAAAAATCAGTGGCACATGCAGCCGCGAATGGTGAGGAGCTCTTGAAGGACCTCAAGGCTTCAGATTTTACAGCTGCCCTCAGTGCTTTGTTGCTGAGGAAGGCAATGTCCGCCAGGCAGCCATGAATGCTCTCCTGCAGCTCCCGTCGAAGACGCGCGCTGCTGTTGCCGACCTGATGGCAAACACACATGAGAGCACCGGTGCTGTGACGCTCTACGAGTACGACGAGGGCAGGGGTGAGCTTACCAAGTTGGCTTACAGGATGCAGAAAACGGGATCCAAGAAGGCTGTTGCGGTGATGCCGTTCGGTGCTTCCTTTGTGTGCGCCAAGGTCATCAAGGAGCACATCACGATCACAGAGACAGTTCCCATCTTCAAAGATGTCCCAGTCCAACTGTTGTCTGAAGAGGGCTTGTTCAACAACTCCTACACGACAGTTTACAAGCAGGAGAAGGTGAGCGAGCAAAAAAGGACGAGGCTCGAACCCGTTTTCGACCAAAAGGTTCTCAGCATCGACAAGCAAGCCGCGATGATGGCTGCCTTGGAGACTCGAGCCTACCGTCAGGTCTTGAAGGAGATAGCCTGATGAGTTGAAAGTTCGGAGAGATGCATCAGCCTTTCTCGTCTCGGAGTGTATAGTGTCCAAGGCGTGGGCATCGTGCCTCACATCCTAGAGTAGTAAAGCTTAAGGTGACCCGAAACCCTAAGCCCGCATTTCTTATTTGCAGACGTTAGTCCTCCATGCCTTTCCTTGGACTGTTCATTACAAAGAGTTCTTAAGGTGTGCCATGTTGTGCTGTTCCAAGCAGTGGCGCTGCCTGCATGAACCTGACAGTCGACAAAGTGTGGCAAAAGAGAAGGGCTTAGTGGGCTTCGAGGGTTCAGGACTTAGGGTTTGGGCTTCGGGTTCAGTTTTAGGGTATAACCCCCAAGACCCCACACTTAGCCGTGCTTAAGGCGGAGGGGGGGAGTGAATATGTTTCACTCCTTCACTCACTCAGCAAGTGCTGGGTTGAGGGTTTTGGGGTTTCTGGGTTTGGCTTCTCATCAGGGTTTGCGGTGCAAGGCTCGGATTGCTCGGGTTTTGTGGGATTGAGGGCTTACTTTCAAGTTTGGACACTCCTTATTTACCCGCCTTGGTACATACATTTAGGATTCAAAGTTGTGGGGATTGGAAGGGTTCTAGGGTACTTAGCTGCCGGCCATCACATTTGATGCCGCTCACAGAAGCCCTCCACTCTAAACCCTAAATTCCTAAACCCTAAACCCTAAACCCTCAACCCTGAATTCCCAAACCCTGAATTCCTAAATTCCGTACCCAAAGCCTCTACTTTGCTCAGATGCTGAGGATAGACATGCGCAAGATGATCGCTTCCAAGAGCAGCGAGATGATGCTGAAACGGCTGCCCCACTGAGCTGGGGGAACGGGGCCCCTCTTTGTCCTGAGGAGGGTTAGGGTTTAGGGTTTAGGGTTTAGGGTTTAGGGTTTAGGGTTTAGGGCTTAGGGTTTAGGGTTTAGGGTTTAGGGTTTAGGGTTTAGGGTTTAGGGTTTAGGGCGGTTCATGGTGCATCTTTTTTCGCAACTGTTTCTGTAGTTATTTCCCACTTCTATCCCTGTTAGGGCACTTGAGGGACTTATTACCTCCAAGTAGGGCTGAGATCATCGGGTTCAGGGTAGAGAGTCGCGTTGCCCCTTCTCTAAGCAATCTTTGTAATTTTCACAACGCGTGTTGGACTCCAGGGGTAGCTGTTTCCGGGGTTGGCTTTGTTTCCGGGAGGTTTCTTGTTCGGCGACACCCTGGGTGTCAAAAACATCCCGGTGCATAAACCCAAAGCCCAAACCCAAACCCCTAAACCCTAAACCCTAAACCCTAAACCCTAAACCCTAAACCCTAAACCCTAAACCCTAAACCCTAAACCCTAAACCCTAAACCCTAAACCCTAAACCCTAAACCCTAAACCCAAATGGCTACGGCTCAAGGATTTGGGCTTAAGGATCTGTGGACTTAGACCCCTGAACCCCCAGCCTTGTCCGGGTGGTGGCCTGGAGCGTGGAGGACTCCGACATCGTAACGACCGTGACTGTGCCGTCTTCTTCGCGGGGGCTCTGCACTTTGTGAACGTAGGGGACGCTCCTCTTCGGCAACCGCTGCTGTTGGCTTCGTGCTGTACCTCGGGGACTTTGACAACCACCTCTTGGGGGGCGCGGCTTTTTCTGTGGTGGACTTCCTGAACGTCGGCGACTTCGCTGGGTGGGGTGCGCATTGGGCGGGGGAGTTTGTCATAGTCGAGTTCGTGATTTTGGCAACCTGCCTGAGAGTGCCTTCTTCCTGGGGTGGACTTCGTCATGGCGGCGGTGGACCTGCCCTCGCCCACGGAGGTGGCAACCGCGAGTGAGGTGGACGTTGACGAGGAAGAGGTCGATGCGGCAGCGCGGAGGGACGCCCGGAGAGCGCGCAAATCCAAACGCAGGGCAGAGGAGGAGGCCGAGGCCAGTGACGCTAGCCCTTCGAAGACCGCCCGTGGCCGTCCTTCTGCGGGGAGTGGGCATGGTCCGGAGGGAGAGAGTGGTGGTGGAGCTGCGGGAGGTGGTGGTGGTGATGTTGACGCCATTCGGCGTATGCTTGAGGAGCATCTGTCCTCCATGAGGTCCTCCTGGGGGTCTGTGGCTGCCCGGGTGGAGCGAGTTGAAGTTCGCCAAGCTGAGCACGCTGATCGCATCTCCACACTTGAGGACGCAGGGGACTTCCAGGCCCGTAGAACTGAAAGTTTGGGGGCGCAGATTGAGGGACTTGAGCAGAAGATGGAGGCCCTCAGCCGTGACCTTGCCTCGTTGAAAGTGGGAGGGGCGGGGATTGGGGCTGGCCTGTCAAATGGGGGTGCTCACCCTGACCCATGGCAGGAGTGCCTTACCCGTGCTGCCAAAGGTGATGGGGCTGGAGGTGATGCGGTGGGTGGGGGTGGTGGTGGGGGTGGTGGTGGGGGCCGAGGTGGTGGGGGGAGCAACCCCAAAGACTCGAAGGATGGTGGCCTCAGTGAGGAGGACCGCCGCACCCTTATCTTTGGCGGCTGGCTCCAGGATACCAAGAAAGCGACCATCCTGGCCGAGGTGCAGGCTGCCTTCCAACTGCCGGAGGTGGCCCCATTGCTTGACAACACTGACCTCATTGTTTTTGGGCCGCGCCGCTCTTTTGGGATGCTCCGGTTCGTGCACCGCCAGGGGGAAGACCACCAACAACTACGAGAACGCATGTGGGGGGTGATCCGCGCAGTGAGGGGTGCCACCATTGCACTGGCCTCCACGGCCGCGCCTGGGGGAGAAGCCAAGAAGCTCTGGAGCTCCTTCCTCAAGACGCGTGAAGCTAGAAAGCGGGGTGGCCATGCAAGCATGATCCGCCGTGTGGCCCAGACTTGCGCTGAGGGAGGTGAAGGGGACATCGCCGTCGAGGCCAGAGGCAACGACTACTACGACGTGGACTGGGCCTCGGGGACTGTCTGGGCGGGCCTACACAAACTGGGGAGCGCAGTGCACCGCAGGCCCCGCTCTGATGATGTGTGCCAACTGGGAGCTGGGTGGGTCGATGTGGGGGAGGTTGCCGCCGCCACGGGTGCCGACAAGCCGGCCGTCAAGGCCGTCCTGGAGCGTGAACTCTGAGAGGACGGGGATGGGGGTTTCACTTTGGGCGACTCCCTCAAGGGGAATGCCTTGCATGACACTGTTCGACCTGGTGAACGGCGTGAGCTTAAAGTGGGCTCGTTCAATGTGGGAGGCCAACGTCTTTCTACAGTGGATGCCGCTTTGTTGGGTTTTGATGTAGTTCTACTTCAAGAGATTGCTCGTGACCAAGTTTGTGGCCAAGGAAGAGAAGAGACTGACAACTTCGTTTGGGTGACATGGCGCTCTCCTGAGAAATGGCGGGGGCAGGCCGTTGGAGTCAGCCCCGATCTGCTTGACTCCTTTGTCCAAGTAGTGGGTGCTCAACATGGTCTTTGGGTGGCGGCCCGCTTTCGGCAGCTCGGAAGAGTCGTCTTTGGCTCCTTGCACGCGCCCACGGGGGAGCCTCAGGGGGTATATGATGCGGCTCGCTGCCTCTGGCGGTGGTGCTTTGCGCCCTGGGAGCGCCTGCCTGGATTGTCTCCTGGATGCGCTTGATGGGCTGCGCCTGAAGCCACAGACACCTTTGCCGAGCTGCTGGGGGTTGCCT